AAGAATAAAAAAGAACTTGGATGACCCCTAAAATTAGGATTTGTTTGCTTTTTAACTTTTTTAAGGAAAAATTTCAAACATATATAAAAGTAGAATGGTAAAATGGGCCCTTATATACCTACTTTCGATAATTATCAACTTACGGCAATCTTCTTTTTTCTATACCTTAACCCTTCTAGAACATATACCTATGTTCCTTCTAGACCGTTTTGAAGCAAATCCCAGGCATCATTATATTAGTAAACATTTAATACGTATCTCTCTAAGATAAGGGTTCTGTTTATAAAGAACGTAACCACAATATCAGTAGTGCATCTAAAAAATTAACAATTCCCTAATACCAGGTATCTTGTCACATTGCCAATTTGAACACTGCCAGTGTTCAAATTTCCAGTTATCTCCTAAATGTTATATTGTTATAATTTGAAATATGGCTCACTGTCTATTTTTATAAATAAGGGTTATTGGAACACAACCACATTTGTTTATGTATTATCTTTGACTGCTTTCATGCCATAACAGTTGAGTAGTTGCAACAGAAATTGTATGGCCTTCAAAGACTAAAATATTTCCTATTTGGTATTTGGGCCCTTTACAAAAGAAGTTTGGTGACTCATACTTTAGGCAGCCATTTTTTAGAATAATTAATACTAAAACTTTTTTATATTTACCCTCATTTTCACTACTGCTTGAGAATCTTCATTTCCTGAAGAACTTCCTTTAACATTTTTTGTAATGAATGTCTCAGCTCTGGCTTGTCTGAAAAAAGTCTTTATTTTGCCTTCATTATTAGTAGCTATTTTTTGCTGGGTTTGGAATTCTGGGTTGACAGTTTTGTTCTTTTAGCACTCTAAAATTAGTGTTTCCGTTGTCTTTTGGCTTGTGTAGTTTTGGGTGAGATGTATATTACTAATCTTTGTCCCTCTGAATGCAATGCGTTTTTTTCCTCTGGCTGCTCTGAAGATTTTCCTCTTCATCTTTGGTTTTCAGTAGTTTGAATGTGTCTAGGTTTGTGGCTTTTTGGTTTTGTTTTGCCTTTAGGTGTTCATCTTGATTGGGGTTCTCCGCGCTTGGTTTTGTCATTTGATGTCTTCCATTATTTTTATCTGTTATTTTTTCAAAAATTTCTTCAGACCTATTATCTCTCCTTCTGGGATTCCAGTTATATACATATTGGATATTAGGCCACTTAATATTGAACCACAGCTCTTGGATGCTCTATTCTGTTTTGTTTTTTTTGTTTTTTCCCCCAGTTTTATTAAGATATAATTGACATATAGCATTTAGATTTAAGGTGTACAAGGTACCTTACAAATACCTTACAAGATACATATATATTTAGATATATAAAATCATAGATAAAAATGTATTTATATAGCCTATATTTATTTATGTACAATATATATTTCTATATGTCATATATATGCATATATATTTTTCTATTTAAATTTTGTTTTAGTTTGGAAGATTTTGATTGACCTGTCACTGATTTCTTTCTTTGGCTGCTTTGTGTCTACTGATAAAGGCTGTGAAAAGCATTCTTCTTCTGTAACTATGTTCATTTATTCCCAGCATTACCATTTGACCCATACAGTTTCCATCCCTTTGCAGAAATTCATCATAATTTGTGCGTACACCTTTTTAATAGTGCTTTTTAACATATTAATTATATTTATCTTAAATTTTTTTCTGTGAATTACAACATTTGGGTCATCTCAGAGTCTGGTTTTATTGGTTGGTATCTTATCACAAGGGGGTGGGGGTGGGTGTGTGTGTGTGTGTGTGTGTGTGTGTGTGTGTGTGTGTGTGTGTAGATGGGAGGGTATGTTTGTTTGGGGGTGCTAATTTTTTATTGAATGCTGGCCCTCATGTATAGATCAGTAGAGACCTCCTGGGAATGGTAAAACTTTACTGCTGTATTATTACTGGGGGGTTAAGTCAATCTAGTCAGGAGTTCAACTATGTTTGGGTTTTGTCCTGGCTATGAGAACCTTCAATGCATCACCAGCTTCAAATTCCTCTCCTCTTACTTTGTGCTTAGAGTGGGTACTAAGTTGTCCCAGGGCTTAATGTTCCTGTTGCATGCTCAGCTTTCTGCCTTCCCTTTGCTCTTACATAAAATAATGAGCCTCTCCCTAAGTTCTAGCCCCTCCCCTAGCAGTAGACTGCTATTGCTTATGACTTCATACTTGCTAGCCTGGTTGTGGGGACCTGGGAGGGGGGATTCTTTGATGTCTTGGTTTAGCCTCTGCCTTAGGTAGGCTGTGTGTCCCTGGGTCTCCTGGTGGCACTTTGAAAGTGATCCTATCTGTCCAGTCAGCTGAAGGAGGCTAATGGTCTGGCCTCAGGACAGTTTCCTATTCTTCCCCCCTTTCCCAGCTATAAGGGGTCTTGACCTGGGCCCTGAAGACAGCAGAATTTGCTGATCTCCCCTCAGCAGCTTTAAGGCTCTTTTTCTGTAGGGGAGAAGGATCTGAGTGGGGCTCTGTGCTTTTCCGAGATCCCTGGAAAACTGTTGGAGAAGAGCCTGCTAGTGGGTGTGAACTCCCTTTTTGTCGGATGCTTCCTGGGGCTCTGTACTCTCATACTGGTCTATACTTGGCTTTTAGCAATTAATTTTAAATTTTAGGTGAATTCTTAACCATGTGTGTGATGCTTAGCGTTGCTCTCTTCTTGTGCTTTGCTACTGATGAGCTAGTACATGTCTTCTTGGAAGCATGTACCTTTCCTTAGATTTCATTCAGGCTACTTGGTAGTCCTACAACCTCGGCTATTTGATGGTTCAAGAAAAGTTATAATTTTGTCGCTTATCTTATTTTTTCTCATTGTTCTGGTGGGAGGGATGCTCTTTCCAGCTCTCTACGTCCTAATCAGAATTCAAATTACAGTCTTATCAAGTTGCTTGAAGTACCCACTTTCTGTGTGGTTGTATATTTAATTCAACATAGAGTAGGTTCATTTGTTTCATTCGTCTTTCAGTTTTAAGGGACTGCTTTCAAATTTTAATTTTGTTTCATAATTAAGTGAACTATTTGTATGGTTTCAAGTCATGTATACAGAGCAGTGTGTATTCAGAGAACCCTTCTCCCTGTCTCATCCACCTTATTTTCTCCTTTCTTTAGTAGGTGGCCTCATTAAAAAAAATCATAACTTAAGTCACATTACATATGATTATTACACATTTACTACATTTAAAAGATAACAGTCAGGCCCTGGCTGGTGTGGCTCAGTGGATTGAGTGCTGGCCTGTGAACCAAAATATTGCCAGTTTGATTCCCAGTCAGGGCACAGGCCTGGGTTGTGGGCCAGGTTCCCAGTTGGAGGCGTGCAAGAGGCAACTGATCAGTGTAACTCTTGCACATTGATGTTTCTGTCCCTCTGTTTCTCCCTCCCTTCTCTCTCTAAAAATAAATTTTTAAAAATCTTTAAATAAAAAAATAGAAGATAACACTCAGATTGTATAAATATTTGTATCCCTCTTTTCTTAGATATATGGTAGCACGTATACAAACTTTATCCACATTGTTTTATTTTTTTAGTAAAAGGCAAAAGATTTATACAATCTGAAGAGAAACCAGAGTATACTTTTTTATTATTTTTTAATCCTCACCTGAGGATATGTTTATTGATTTTTAGAGAGATGGGAAGGTGGAGAGAGAGAGAGAGAGAGATGGATATGAGGATATGAGACAGAAACATCAATTGGTTGCCTCTCGTATATGCCCTGACTGGGGATCGAACCTGCAGCCCTTTTGGTGTATGGGACGATGCTCCAACCAACTGATCCACCCAGCCTGGGCTCCACATTTTTTTAAATTCAACACTTCACAATAGTTCTTTAGAGATACTCTCCACTATGTGGACATACCATGTTTTATTCAACTAGTCCTCTGTTAATGAGCATTTGGGCTTTTTCAGGTTTTTGCTTTTACAGATAGTGTTGTAATGAAGAGCCTTATGTATGTCTTTTTGTATTTTTGCCATTTTATCCTCAAACTCCAAAAAGTGGCATTGTTGAGTTAACATGTGATTCATATACACTTGCTAGATATTGCTAGATTCGTTTTTAGTAGAGTGTAGTACCATTTTGTATCCCCATAGAAATGTGTGAGCATCTTTCCCCTCAGCTTCAACTGCAAAGTGTGTTGTGAGACGTTAGGATTCTTGCCAATCTAACAGGTAAAGATTTTTATTTCAAGAAGTTTTAATTTGTATTTCTTTTAAGATTGTGATTGACAAGTGGGTTTTTATAAGTTCTTTGAACAACCTTATTTTTCTTAAAATTTCAGTATGCTGTCTTGTATTTCATTAATCTACAGCTGTTGCCCATGAAATATTGTGCCTGTTGGTCCAAAAGCCATTTGAAAAGGGATTGTTTCTGTTTTCTTAGGGATTTAAAGATTCCAGACTTTGAGTCACCATAATCAAATTTGGCAGATTAACGTAAGAGTTTAAAGGTTTGCAATCTTGCAGTTCACTTTGGAAATGTTATTTGATCTGTGGTTGCAAGGTAACCTGGTTAAAAAGAGTGTAGATCAAGATGGATTTTGCTCTTTCCCTGTTCTTCCCAGTTGCCCTTTAGGCTTCATGTGATGCTCCATTTTAGCCAGCAGAGGCCACTAGGGAGCAGAAGTGCAACAGAGTTGTGGCCCTGCTAAGGTATGGCTGCTAAAAAGGGCACAGACAGCCCTGAGGTCTTGCTAGCTTGTGTCGCGTGAAGATTTCATGCTTGGAATAAACCAAATATTTGAGGGCAGGATGTGTCTCTGTCATTTGCGTTATAATTTTTCTGTCATGTGCCATCTCCTGTAAATGAAAAACAAATAAGCATTTGAGAGTTTTAGTTAACTGCATTGTTTATCTAGTTGAGCTTTTACTTCACAAACTGTAAAAATCCCTAGAAAGAGACATAGTTTCTACTCTCTAGGAAATGATGATTTCTTTGAGGAATGCCACAGTTAATTACAGGCTTTAAATGTTTTTTTCCTAACTCTTCTCAGTTTGCAGGCCTCTCAGATATATCCATCTCACAAGACATCCCTGTGGAAGGAGAAATCACCATTCCTATGAGGTCTCGCATGCGGGAATTCGACAGCTCCACATTAAATGAGTCTGTTCAGAATACCATCGTAAGTTAGACTAGTTGAGAGAATTTCTGTTCAATATCAGGGGACTCAATAACTAATAGCTCTTTGTAATATTTTTGTTTGGGGCAGTGATTTTCAGTTTCTTTCCCGAGAATAATTTGGTGCAGCCTTTTTGGAAATCAGTTTGGCTATAATGGGTATTAAGGATCTTATAATTTGCAAATTTTTTTAAGCTGATAGTTTGGCTTCTCCAGATACAGTATAAGGAAAAAAATTAATATGAAAATATTTTTAAACTACTGAAAAACATTAATATGCAAAGATATTCATATAAAATTCTTTATAATAGGGGAAAGTTGAAAACCAGGTTAAGTAAATTGTTAAATCTGTGTGGTAGAGTGCTAAGCAACCATTAAAAATCATGTTTGTGCCCTGACTGGTTTAGCCCTGACTGCTGTGGCTCAGTGGGTTGGGCATCGTCCTGCAAACTGATAAGTTGCTGGTTCGATTCCTGCTCAGTGCACATGCCTGTGTTGGCGGCCAGGTCCTTCGTTGGGGTTGTGTGAGAGACAACTGATTGATGTTTCTCTCCCTCTCTTTTTCCCTCCCTTTCCCTTGCTCTAAAAACAAATAAATAAAATCTTTTTAAAAATCATGTTTACAAAGAGCTCTTAATCACATGAAGAAATTTCTAGGTGAAAAATTAGGATGCAATTATCTCAGCTCTATTTTGCATGGTTATATTACCATACCCTTAAATAGCTTGATTATTAGTTAATCTAGCCTCCAGGATGTATTAGTCAGTAAAATTTGGAATGTTTAAAATTAATTTTACATATTATGAAGAATGTGGTGACTAGGGAGCAAACTCATTGGCCCTTGGAATGTTTTCATATACAAACTGAAAGTCTGATGCTATGTTTTGCAGAAAAGATTTTAGTTTTTATAAGTTACATATTAAGAGGGCTATGTTTTTCTTCTTTACAGACTTTTAGAAATCAAAACAGGACTGGTGGATATGATAAAGATGATGGCTTAAGGAGTTAATAGGGAAAAAACCTGCCTTTCTGGTTGGTTTGTATAGTGAAAAGGTTGAACTCAAATTTTAGCTCTAAAATTCAGCAAAGGACTCCCAGGAGATTGAAATAAAAGAAATTTTAGCAAATTAAGTTAGGGGGCTGCCTGGCAACCTTGGTTCTCACAATACAATAGTTGTTTATGTCTTTCAGATGCGTGATCTAAAAGCTGTTGGGAAAAAATTCATGCATGTTTTGTACCCAAGGAAAAGCAATACTCTTTTGAGAGATTGTAAGTATATGAGGTTTTTGAGGCTTTGCTGCTTCTCATTGTACTTTCTCATAAGTACTTTATAAGGCACAGGCTCTGTGGTAATAAAACTGACATCATTTTGTGCAATTAAAAATATATAAATGAATATATAAATAAAAAAAATTGGAAGAAGTTAAAAATTTAGAATGGAATTTCAGAGATTATACGATTTTGCTTAATACATTGTCCTCATCGATAAATAGAGAATGTATCCTCGCCTGCTGTAATAGACACTGTAAAAACTATTTCTGGAAGCTGCAAACACATAGGAACTTTGTTCACCCTAAGAGTTAACAATTCCCAAGAGAAAGGCAAAATATTCAGCTATTAAATTAGAATAATAGCTAATACCCATTAAGGATTAACAAATTAATAGTACTTTTATTGACATTATTATTTTAGAACTGTCTCTTAGTTTGATGACTGCTTTCTTCAAGATTTCTGGCGACAATATTTGCAATAAATTATGCTCTTACTTAGAATTTATTCTTAAAATTGTCAGACCACCTTCTTTTCTTTTCAATTATTCTTGTTTTTCTTAGTACCCCTTCTCAGAAAACTTGAAATAGTTACTTAAGAATAGTAACAGTTACGTACATGAATGTACCTTCTATTTTGACAGCATTTCAGTTGTAATATAGGGATGTCAAGTGTGTGGCAAGTGTGCCATGACACTGAGTGAAGACTGGATGCAGTGCCAGAATTGTTTTCCACACAGTACACTGTGGGCTGGAGCTGACATGATTTTCTACAGCTGGTATATAATGGAAAGAACATGGACAAATCTGGGCTCAAATCGTGGTCGCACCACCAGCTGTGTGAGGTTGGATAAGACAGTTGACTTTTCTGAGGCTCACGTTCCTTCCCCTGTTAGAGTGGAGATAATAACATGTACCTAATGGTAAGGGTTAGAGATGATGATGAGCATCAACCACCCTGTACAGCATCTGGCACTTAGTAGATACTTCGTACATGACAGCTGTCAATCTAGTGCCTTTCTGTTTCTTCAACACACAGTGTTTTTTTAAATGCTTACAACAACCTTGTGAAGGAGGACTTATTAGGAAAATGAGTCTCAGAGAAGGTGAGCGCCTTGTCAAGATCACGCAGGCAGGATTAGAACCTAGTTTTCAAGTTCAGCACCCTTTCCAATCTACCACCCCTCCCCCAGATGTGAAGATTCTTTTAACTGTTGCGGTAATTTAGTTCAAAGCAAGGTTGTTTCTCACAATACACAATCAGTGTGTTAGTTTGCTGATTAACGATGAATTTTTGCTTATGTCATGTGTTAAGGTCCATTTTCAAACCTTGGCGGGAGGTGGTGGATAGATAGGCTGGCACAAAGGCTGAGCAAGTCATGGACAGAATTGCTCTTCTGCCCTGCCCTGTTATGGCTGTTGGCAAAGTGGCAAGGAAAAGGTTCACGACTTCAAAAAATAATCTAAAAAATACCCAACAACAGAATGATACACCACTTCACACCCATTAGGACGGCTGCTCCCAGTCAAAGAAACAGAAAATAAGTGGTGTTGATGATGTGGAGAAATTGAAACCCTGTATGTTGCTAGTGGGCTGTAAAATGGTGTAGCCACTGTGGAAAACAGTATGATGTTTCCTCAAAAAATTAAGCATAGAATAATGCCAGCATTTCCACTTCTGAGTATATGCCCAAAAGAATTGAAAGCAGAGACTAGAACAGATATTCGTACACTCATATTCAGAGCACCACTATTCACAGTATCCAAAATGTAGAAACATCTTAGACATCCATCGATGGATGGATGGACAAAATGCGGTACATACACCATGATATATACCATATATGGATAGACTGTAACTCAGCCTTAAAGAGGAGTGCAATTCTGACACATGCCACAACATGGATTAACTTCGAAGACATTATGCTATGTGAAATATGCCAGACAGAAAAGTACATATGTTTTATGATACCATTCATATGAGGTACCTAGAGGAGTCAAATTGATATAGATGGGAAGTAAAATGATAGTTGCTAGGGCTTGAGGGATAGTGGGCAGTTATTGTTTAATGGATTGGCATTTCAGTTTGGGAAGATGAAAAAGTGCTGGAGATGGATGGTAGTGAATGTTGTGCAACAATAAATGTACTTAGTACCTGTGCACTTAAAAGTGACTAAAATGGTGAATTTTAGTTTTAAAATACTATTACAGATTTTTTACGAATTAAAAAATTTCAGTGCATTAAAAAAAGCAAGTCTATTAGTGTCAGTTATACTTGAATTCAGTTTTTCAGTGGACAAGTTAACAAATTTTAACAAAAACAATAGTTTTATTAGAGTCTTAGGATTATGATTTTTTAACATCCTTTCCAAAGTTTACAGTGGTGTCAAAATTGCTTATATAATCAATGTAAGTATGTACATATGCATTCTTCTTTTAGGTAGTTATGTATATGTGAGGATAAAGTTAGGGGTGGTATATGTACCTTTTTTCATATTACTTGAGGAAGGTAATTGTGCTCTAAGCTGTATATTCCTGAACTGTTGGCATATTAATCATTCAATCACTATTGATTGAGAACCACTATGGGTAGACCTGATGTTGGCAGAGTCTTTTATAGTTTTCAAAAAGCTTTTGTGTTATTTGTTAAAGTTTAACCTTATAAAATTAACAGTATTGGCCTGATTTTTCATCTGTAAGAACAGCAATTCTAGTTCAATGTAAGAATTAGAAAGAGGAGGCACTATGGCAGGGTGGGAAGAAATTTGCAGTGGGAATCAAAAGATCTGGGTTCTGGTCCCACGTCTATGCCTAACTGTTGAAATTAACCTGGGAAACTGACTTCCTTCTCAGCTTTACTTTTCATATTCATGAGATGGGCCTGGTTATACTTGCCTTGTCCAATGTAGTTTCAGATTGGTGAAGTAACTTGATTTTCTTCTTCCTGAGGGAACAGGATGGGGCATTCCTCCTCCATTGGTCTTTAACTATAGCCTGCTGGAATGTGCCTTAGTGGGTAGGGAGAGGGGCGATATGTGGAATATGAAGTGAACAGAACAAAGAATGTATAAAGAAGGACTTTCAGACTTGGGGTGCAGAGAGGGCACGTAAAGGGGTAGGAAAGGAGGGAAGGCTTGGGCCAACAGACAGCCTTGACATCTGAATTCCAAGAGTGGGAGAGGTACATGTTGGAATAAGGATAGAAAATACTACATGGTCGTTTCTTAACAATCTTCTGCCTTTTCTTGCCTTGTAGGGGATTTATGGGGCCCTTTGATCCTTTGTGTGACACTCGCATTGTAAGTACACATACAGGGTCCAGCAGAAGTAATGCCATTGAGTGTGGTTGGTAGGGTACGTGAATGTCTTGCACGAGATGGACAGCAATTTGAACATTTCACCCAAAATGTCATATGGTGTGCCTGAGCGTGATATTGTTATGTTACAGAATTACATGCTTATGAGTTTGTAATAAAAGATTTGGTATAGATTACCAGCTCATAAAAAGGGGCATTATTTGTGCCGGACCCTGTATTTCCTTTGTCATTTGACATAGTTGCAGGGGTGTCCAACCTGTCGCCCGCACACGGCTCAGGATGGCTATGAATGTGGCCCAACACAAAATCATAAATTTACTTAAAACATGAGATTTTTTTGTGATTATGTGTCACAGTGTATTTAATGTGTAGCCCAAGACAACTCTTCTTCCAGTGTGGCCCAGAGATGCCAAAAGGTTGGATACGCCTGGACTAGAGGTTTTTGTGGAGTTTTAAAATTGAGGGGAATTTTGACTGAATATTTTATTTAGGACTTCTGTGACATACTGTACTCCTTATGTATTTAAATCTAAAAAGCCAGCTTTCCAGATCAGTTCAAAGAGTGATGGAATTAAAGATGCAGGAATTATGCCTACTTCCATTTACCAGTGACTTCTGAGCCTGTTTTTGCCATTTCTAGTTAACAAACATTTATGTACTATACACTTCCCCATCAGTAAGTGAATTTAATATCTATAGGCTTAAGTACTGTTTATTTGCAAACAATTCTTTTTCAATCTTACTAAAATATGAATGAGAGTGAGAACATATGAAAGAGAAGTGGTAGAGATCACAGCAAGATTATGTTTCAAGTGTTTTGCTTTCCATATGCATTGAATGTAAAGGGAGAGGGCAGAAGAAGAAGAACCACGTGCCATTGGTGAGGGGAATATAATGATCGGTAGAGTGGAAAAAATACTGCACAGGGATTCAGTTTTGATTCTCGTCCCAACTGCTATCAATGAAGTGACTTTGGACTATTAATAACCAAAATTTATCTAATGATTTTTCCCAGTTTATAGAAAAACTTTTAAATTCCTTCTCTTATTTTGCCCTTATAACAAGAAGTGAATGTTATTTTCATTTTTCACCAAACAAGCTTAGGTTCATAGAGATTGAGGATGAACCAAGATCACATAATCAGTGGTAGACCTGTGAATCTGGTAGACCTCAGCTTTCCTCAGCTGCCCATTCTCCACCTCTATGAATATTACACATCTCTTGCTGCCTAACCTCTCTGGGTTTTCTCTCCTGCGCACGTAAAAAGAGATAGTTGATGGTGTTTTCCAGGACTAACCTTTTACGATTCTAAATTCAACAAGTTTCTTACTGGCTTCTCTACCCATTTTTTAATGTGTCAAGCATATGCTAATTTAGGTAATAACATTGACTGGTATTTTTTATGCCTTTTATAGCCATAAGAAGGAAATAGTTCAGTGCCTTGATGGAAGGGTTTATATTGGAAGCTCTAAGCATATACTTTGTTTTAAGTTTTCAAAGATTAACCTCAGAGATTATGTCATTATTTGTAGAGGAGAAAACTGGAGTCCCAAGACATCAAACGATGTGCTCCAGTTTACATATCTAGTGAGAGAACTAGGATCAGTGTCTGACTCTTCTGTCTTTCAGGCCAGTTAATATTTCTTTCATTGTATGATGCTGAAGTAATAGGGCTTGCGGGCAGCGTGCGATGATGAGTGCTGCCATTCCTTCCATCAGATTGTCAGGACTCGGAATGGAGTATGCACAACCACAGAATATTCACAAACGGCTGTATTGGCAAACACCGTAGCAGGGCAGGACTTACTGTGTGACTTCTCTATGCCATGTAATAAGAAGAGGTTGTGAGCTTGATGTTGCTTATTATTTTTCTGGAAGAAAAACCAAAACAACACTGAGTCCAAGTGTTCTAAGTCCAAAATTCAAGACAGTTTACATCTGAAAACTTCTTACACAAAGTAAAGCTATTTAAGTGACTGTTCACCTTAATTTGAAAACAAAGTCTTTTAGAATAATAATCTGTGTATTTTTATTAAAAAAACAACCAATTAGGTTTATAGATTATTTCTGTTTTTAAATATCGGAACTGAAACCTTAACCTAAGGATTACAAATTGAAATGTGTCTAAGGGATATAAAAGGAGCTTGAATGCACACATGGTGGATTGCTGACTGGAAGCTCCCTGTGAAGGAACCGGCAGCTATGTCACGTGTACCTGATTGCTGCAGTGTAGGAATGCCGGCGCAGTGTTAGAAACGTTTCTCATTTTTAAAGAAGATCCAGAAACACATTATTTTTATGTGAAGGCTCTCAATTTTAAAATCATGTCAACTTGAATTTAAAACCATTTTGGGTATTGTAGGGAACAACAACTTCACATCTGTGAGCCACATTTGACCTTCCAATTTGTAAGCTCTGCTTAACCAAAAAAGGTCTTCAGTAATCCATTTAAGCATTCCAACAAAGCCAAATGGAGCACCCCTTGTACTCCTGAGGCATTTGGAACTTGAAAGAAGGGAGCCTTGCCAAATTGTTCTGGAATTTTCCTTTTGCACGGCCTACATATTACAAGATCTTCAGGTGAGGTAAAGGGTAGCTCCCCGATTCAAACTTTGGGAATCCATGCCTTAACTTTATTGTTCTAAGTAAAAGAGTAGGCAATTCTCATGCCATTTCCTTGTCACAGAATGCTTCAAGGAGGCTCTGCAGACAGCGAAAATGATGGCGGGCCCCAGTTTGCGGAAGTGTTTGTCATTATCTGGTTTGGTGCAGTTACCATCACCCTCAACTCAAAACTTCTGGGAGGAAACATGTACGTATTATTAAAAGCCTTTTCTTTCATTTGCTAGGTAGCATATCTTAGATTTTTTAGGGGGTTTGGCTAGTTAACTAATTTTTGAAATGAAAAATCAAATGAGGGACAAAGAGAGAATATTCTTATACCCACTGAGTCCTGACCATTGTGGCTCAGTTGGTTGGGCGTCATCCTGCAAAGCAAAAGGTCGCCGGTTGCATTCCTGGTCAGGGCACGTGCCTGGATTGTGGGCTGGTCCCTGGTCTCCTACACGTCAGAGTATGTCTCCCTGTCTCTCCCTACCTTCCCCTGTCTCTAAGAATAAATAAATAAAATGTTAAAAATAAACCACTGAACAGAGAAAGATAAGCTGGTTGAGTTGAATTATCTTAAACTGTCTGGGATCCTTTGATAAGCTTCAGATGCTCTCTCCAGCCCTGGACTCATAGGCAGAATTTTTTGTGTTAGAGGATTATGTCCATTTTGGGGAACAGATGGTCCATAACTTTCAAAAAATTCTCAAATAGGTCTATAAACTAGAAGAGATTTAGAAGCACTGTCTTAGCCCTGACTAGTGCAGCTCAGTGGGTTGAGCGTTGTCCTGTAAACTGAAAGTTCACTGATTGAATTCTTGGTCAGGGCACATGCCTGGGTGGCGGGCCAGGTTCCCCACTAGGGGGCGCTTGAGAGACAGCCACATGTTGATGGTTCCCTCCCTTTCTCCCTTCTCTCTAAAAATGATAACATCTTTAAAAAAAAAAGAACCACTGTCTTAGAGGTTCAGTGGGAGAAGAGGAGGTCTTTAGGAATTAGAGTAGATCATCTGGTATCCTAGATGGCCGACTCCTGAGGAGTTTAAAAGGAGAGAGAGGAGTAAGGAGAGAAGAATTAAAGCACGTGCTAGTGCAGAGGCCCATCCTCATACAATCAGTGTTGGGGTGTAGGTCTTATGTATCTGGAGGCAGGTAACGATCCATAGTGCATAGACATCTGTGTAATAACTATCATGATGCATGTCAGCTGTATTTATGATTTTTACAGATGTATGTTGTTTTTTCAGTTCTTTTTTTCAGAGTCTCTGTGTGCTGGGTTACTGTATACTTCCCTTGACGGTGGCAATGCTGGTTTGCCGGCTTGTACTTTTGGCCACACCAGGACCAATAAACTTCATGGTCCGGCTTTTTGTGGTGATCGTGATGTTTGCCTGGTCTATAGTAGGTAAGAATGTACTTATCTTTACAACAGCAGAGCAGACAAAAGTGTACCTTAGAGATGAAGACCAGATGAGAAGCAGTGTAACTTCTAACTCACATGTCAGTAATATGATTCTTGCCAGTGTTGCCTGTAGACCCCTCTGTTCTAAATGGGCATTGATAGATATGTCCATCTTATCTGAGTTGAGTATCTGGACTGGTAAGATGTGAGAAGTCATATCTTTTTTTAAAAAAATTTTTAAATGCCTAGGGTTGGAAAAGGAGATTATACTAGTTCTAGGTCAGTCCTGGCATATATAGGAGGTATGGGTGACTTAAGAAACAACAGGCCTTTTCCTGACAAACTAATCATAATAAAAATAATACTTAGCATTTATAGATTGCTTATCATAGGTCAAGCATGGTATATGTATTCTCTAATTTAAACCTCAACCCTAATAAAAAAATAACTGTTATTAGTAGTCCCATTTTCATAGATGAGGACCAGACACAGAGAGATGAAGCAACTTGCCTTAGGATGTATTACCACTCAATAGGGGAATCAAGTTTCAAACCCAAGCAGATCACATACCCATTTGGAACTTGACTATGCTACCTCCCAGTATAATTGGTTAAGTATCATTAGATAGTACTTTCCTGCTTCAGTAGAAAATTCGGCTAAAGATTAGGAAGAACCTGTAGCAGTCACATTGAGTGCTATGTGCTCATCGTTCTTACAGTCCTAAAAATCTCTTAAAATTCTATCTTAAACTAGAAGTGTTCACTAGCATCTTATTAAATGGGATAAACAGACTGCCTAATACTTTAAGTGCAGTAACTATTTTGGTTTTGGTTTTTTTTTGTGTGTGTGTGGCTTAAAACATGGTTAAAAGCCAAGAAGTAATCCAAAACCAGGTCTGGGAGTGCCAGAATTGATATTCCAAAGATTGTATACATAGCAAACTTGGGTGCTTTACCCAAGGAGAGCCCCACATTTCCTTACTTAGAGTCTGATCCTTTATCATCCACGTAGTTCTGAATACCTTAGTGTTCCATTATCTGGTTCCACAGCAGTTCAGAAAGTAGCCTCTTAGAAGTATTCATTCTTTAATTCAGCAGATATTTATTAAGCACAAACCATGTGTCAGGCACTGTGCTAGGCATGGTCTATCCTCAGAGCTCACAATCCAGTGGATTGGCCAGACATGTAAATGCTTAAAGACAATAAAGTGTCCGGGTCAGGGAGGGGAGTCTGTGCAGGGCACAGTAGGGATCCAGAGGAGTGAGTTCTGTCTGAGGTGACAGGATACTAGCTGGTTGTTCAGGGAAGATTTGTTTGCAGGGTGATCATTGATAATTAGGTGTTTCCTGGGTGGACAAGAGGGATGGCATCTAAAAGGGCTGAAGAACAATTACTCAAAAAAAAATACGGCAGTATAAGGTCATTTGCCATAGCCGCAAAAAAATCCTGGCACATTTTTTTAAACCTGTTCGGTGCAATTCAAGCACTTCTCAGAAAACAGTTAGAAACCCCTTTTAGGAGGGTTTCCATCCGAAACGTTGAACACTTTCAAAGCTTTGGTGCATGAAACAAGCAGCCTCAGCTGCCTGGAAACCTGTGCTGCCGAATACCTTTTTTTCTAAGAGCCACAAATATAAGTGAACTTTCAGCATAATTCTGTTCCAGACTCTGCTGAGCACACTAAAGTTAGTGAATGTTAGTAGTTATGACAGTCTCATTGTATTCAATATTCTGTTTTGATTGGTTTTGTTTTATTTTCTTCAGCCTCTACAGCTTTTCTTGCTGACAGCCAGCCTCCAAACCGCAAAGCACTTGCCGTTTATCCCGTTTTTTTATTCTATTTTGTCATCAGTTGGATGATTCTCACCTTCACTCCTCAGTAAATTGGAAAATGGAAATGAAAAACCAGTGAATTGAAAGCTCATCTGAACAATGCAATTCACCATGGAGTTTTGCCTCTGGCCCTGTTCTGTCTAATTCTGGAGCCATTTGGTAACTGGCTACGTGAGGACATTACAAGGGAGCCATAACGCACTGTTGCCACTTGTGTAAGGAACTGATGTTTGAAAGGCTGTTCTTTCCTCTTAACGTTATTTCTTTAAAATACATGTGCATAGTACACCCAGTATACTGCCTTCTTAAGGTGCAATAGGGGTCACTGTGTTCCATTTGGTTAACAGCCAATGACATGGAAAGCACATGCATACATCCTGCAAGTTGAATAGATTTGGTAACTGCATTTCCAATTTAGAATACCAGTTCAGGTGTAGCTCCTAAACACATTGCCTTATGACTATTAGAATATGCCTCTCTCGTTAGATTAAGAATGGATAGTCTGTATCCATTTTCTTTTATTTCTCTCTGAAGTTTAAAAAGGCAATGACAGAGTTTGGGAGGGGGTTCATAGATGTGGGAGGAAAAAAGATGCACTAACCAGTATTCAGATTTTGGTCATAGAAAATTCTGCACTTGTTGCTTTTGAAAAAGCAAGAGACATTTGAAGAATCAGCTTTAGCCTTTTTGTATGGTCACCTAACTGCCATGCTTAACAGCACCTCAGTGACACTCTAGTTTTAATCTTACGCCCTAGCTCAGAATATGCAAACTAAGATGTGAGCAGCAACGTGTAGTTTTCCTCTGACTGATGCTCTCAGTGGTCCAGTGTTTGAACTTACCCAAGTACATCACCTCAGAAACGTGGACTGGTGGGTCCCTAAGGTGTATTGTCTTGTGGGCACATTCCCTTAGAGGTGGAATGAGGCAGTTTGAATACAGCATAGCTATAAGGAATTCCTTAATATTCTGTGTACTATGGCCACTAACGAGAAAGTGAAGCTAAATCAGAATCCTGCATTTAGCCATGTGAACAGGGAGGGATTTAGTGTTCTGATGGCTGGTTCACAGAGCAGCTGGACGCTTAGAGCACGATGTAGGAGGAGGTGACTTTAGAGCTGCCGCCTTTTCATAGTGGGCACAGCCGTTTCTTCATTAGATGTGGTTTTTGGGTTGGGGGATAGCAATTTATTGTCTTGGTTCTGGACTTTATTTGTAAAGCAAATTAGCTTTCCTTTAGACAAGGACTTTTTTGCACATGCGCACCTACTTGTATCCTCAGCTATTTATGCACACAAGTGTGTAGGCTTTTCAGGGAGCAGAGTGTCTGGGGCAGGCTGATTTCTGAGCTAAACAGGGCTCCTTTAACGTAATATGAGCTGCTGCCTTCTATAAATTGCACATTGAAGAACTCTTAATAGGCAAAGACTAGGAGTCAGACAGAAAACATTTGTTGTAAATATACATGTACTTAGAAAGAGGAATTTCTTATTCCACAATTTTTCTTTATCGTAGAATTTAAATATTTATTCATTTTGTATTTAAAGACTACCTACACATAGATACATAATTTTAAACACATTTTCTCCATCCCCAGATTAACCACGTGAACAATACTTGGACAGTTGTGTTCTTGGAATGATATTCAACTACAAAAGCATTACAAAGTTGGCCCCCTCTGTCCCAGCCTTGGCCAAAGTTTTTGGTTATATATTTTTGTTTATTTCAAATTCCCTTTTAAGTTCTAAAGTAAACTGTGTGCAATGACTAAGCTAGTGCTTTAGTCTTGAATTGGTAAAGAAAATATTTTGAAACTGGTCCAAAATTTGAAATTAGTCCTAAATTATCATCCATATCCATTATCTGAAATTTTCCAATTGCCACTAAAAAGATCTGTCTTCCAAAGTTTGTTTATAATCTGTCCCAGTGATTATAATGTAAAGCTAAAGAAATAACGATGCTTCTCAAAGGAAATTAAGTCTTTACGAAATTTTACACAGGCTAGATATTTGTTCAGAAATTTCCAAGGCCACAGCTCTGAGGGGAGTTCGAGTATATACATCTGAGAGGGCATTATACATAGTGGGTGTGAAGGCAGCTTGTTCTGTGTATTAATCTGTTGCTCTTAGGTGACGTAGGGAATAGTTTCACTTGATTTAAATGAAGGTGGGTAAAATGGAAATTTAATGATCTTTTGGAGAATGAGTAGTCAGTCTGAGGGTGTATACATATTTTCTTACTATATGCAACAAGTGCATTGCTTTCTGTGACAGAAGACCTGAGTATCTGGAAGTTGTAACCCTCAACACAGCTTTCCCTGATTTGCTGCAAAGGCACATGGCTTATTATAGAAGGGAGGACTCAAAGGGACGGGGACTCCAGCAAATGCAGCCCTGTTCCAGGAATTGGGAAGTTTTGTGCTTCACATGAAATTCAGGCATGTGAGCATCATTGCCGGATGCAGTGCCTCATTGCCATTGTGGCTTATCACTTGCTGCTCCTACTTCTGAGATTGAGACTCCATTGTTATATTCTTTAGCAATAGGAAAGGATAAGACCGGGTTTAATTGCTGTTCAGATGATAAAAACTCAATTGCACACATATTTGAATATGCAGTGTAGTTTTACACGTCACTCATGAATTGTGAAGTTTTTTTTACCTCATAAGAGGCTTATTACATGGGTTGCATTGGGTCTTTTCATTGTGGTGGGGTTTTCTGTTGGACAAGGTGGGGTCACAGGGCACAGGACTGGAAGCATTTTACTGTTGACCACATCTGTCTTTTTTAAAGTGCCCCCTGAAATGTGACTAGAAGGCTAGCAAGCCTGTATTTGTGAAGACTTAATTATGTACTTTATATATTCTATTTACCCGGACTTCCTGTTTACTCCTGGAGAGCAAAATGAAAACCTCCTGTCATTTCAAAATTTTGAGTAACACCAAGTTGTTGGAATTTATCTAAAGCCTGTCATGATATGATCAGATGCCCATTGCATGCAGCTGTTTTATTCCAGAGCAAAATACCGAAATTGTGATTCTCAGACTGTTAATTTCTGAGGCAATTTAGATGTGTGAATGTTAATCCATGTATGTAAATTAGAAATACTTTTTTAGATTTCTGTGGGCTTTTATTAAAAACAAAGAATTTTTAGGGATTTACTTAGGCCATAGATGGCCGAATAATAATGACAATAATATTACTAATAATTATAGCTGACATTTATTGGGCACTTACTGGGTGCCAGGCACTATTCTATTTTTTTAAGGATTTTTTATAGCTTTATTGAGATACCTTAACCATAAAATTCACCCTTTTAAAGCCATGTACAAGTCAGTGATTTTTTTCAGTATGGTCGCATAATTGTGCAGCTGTCACCAATATCTCATTTTAGAACGTTTTCATCAGTTTATAAAGAAACCCCATGATCTTTAGCGGTCAGTCCCTGTCCCCTTCTCCCAAGCCCCTGACAACCAGCAGTCTGCTTTCCGGCTCTGTTGATTTGGCCAGGCACTTTTCTTAAGTGCTTTTCATGCATCTTTAATCCTTAACATAAAGTGCTACAATTCTTATCTTACAAGTAGAAAATTGAGGCACAGAAAGGCTAAGTAAATTCCCCAGGGTCCTGTAATAAATTGGTTTATAATAGGAAAAACACATTAGATGAGAGCATAGTAGGGCACAATTTTGAATTGCATTGTTAGGTACATGAAATGAATACACCACCTCCCCAGGGTAGGTTCCCTGTTATTAGCCATTACAACTGAACATAGACACCTCTCGATCTTCTTTCCTGAGTATAATAGAACACTACGTTAGCAGCATCGGAGATAAACAAGAGCAGCGGTACATGGGGAAGGGTTGGGTTCGCTGCCCTCCCTCCTCCAACCCCTTTTCTCTCCCCTCCGATTCTACCACCACCACCACACACATATACCCCTCCCCTTTTTCTTTTTACAGTCTGAAGGATAAAACAACTTCTGCCTCTTTAATTCTCCCAGAGGGATGGTTAATGCATCAATTTAACTTGTCTTTTCAGGTGTTTATAGGCAAGGGATGCATCTGGTCGCTTATAGTACCAGTTCTATTCCTAAGACCTCAGAGAACAGCTGTGTGAGAATAGCATGCCCTTTTTATTTGGATTACACCAGGTGGGGGGAATAAATAACAGAGTAAAGGCTTTGCCTTAAGGAAGTCGGTGTTCCTGCCTGGTAGGAAGTGGCCACACACTGCTCTTGTTCACTCTGTTCTTTCTTTTTTCTGAGCCTTTGTACTCTGTGCCATCCCTGCTGGTAATCTTTTGGAACCCCTCAGTGCTCCATTTTAATCCTGATCTTTCCTGTAAATAATGAACCTGTGAAAAGAATAAATCTGTAAAATTATTTGTGAATGTTAAATGTGCAAATAAAAAACAGTGGAAAGGGGAATTGGTGTTTGCCTGTTCTTGTGCCGAGAGGCACGAAGATATTTGCAGCATACTGTTTTCACACTTCATGGATTGTCACCAGACAGTACTGACAACTGTGTAGAATTGCACAGGCAGCGAATTAGGAAGGGGGATCATAAGCAAATAATAGATGCCAGCCACTACAATGACTGCTTTATAAACAGCAGCCTCTAATCACAGCAGCCTTTTGAGGGTGATGGTATTTTCTTGAAGTTGCGGGAGCTGGAAACTCAGGGAGGTTAAATAAAGTGCCCAAAGCCATATAGCAAGTGGTGCAACCAGGATTCCTACTCAGGTTTTGTGACTCCATAGTCTTTTTTACCCTATATCAGTTATTTGTCAAACTGAAATCATACCTACCCACTTGAAGGAAACTAAATGAAGTTAATGATGCAGCTTAAGAGTGTGGTGAGACATGGTTTCCAGCCTTCTGCTGGTGACTGTACTCGTTTCTGATTTCAGTTTCCAATATACTAGAAGAAACCAAATTCCCCACCCCTCTGCATACGTGATAGTTGAAACATACCATGGTTCTTGTTTTTGGTATCACATGAGATAGCAGAGTGATCAGTAAGAACAGGAGCATGTCTTTGAAATATGGGGAGATCTGCACCTAAGAGAGGAGGAGGGGCATCCCAGGGGACAGATAATGCTTAGGAGTAAGGTCGTTAAGCTGTCCACGTACAAGTGGAAGGGTGTGGCACGTTGTCCTCTCCATAATCACGATGCTTTGTGACATTTTTCTGCCTGCCTTTTTATATTTCACTTTGAGGTAGGGACAGCTTCTAAGCTTACTTTACAAGTAACAAAATAGTCTCAGAGTCGTGATGTGATTATGCCTTGGGTTACAAAGCCACTCTAAACACAACTGGAAAGTAGTCCTTTGTGTTAATATGGTCCTTTTCTAATACATCACATATCGATGTGAGTTCAACTGAAATGGGAAAATAAAGTTAGTTGAATGGGACCAAACTCTTGAGGATTGGTTTTGAAAACTAGGAAATTGTGAGTTAGGTCTTATGTGGTAGGAAAGAGTGTCCAAAAGTTCTGGAGCAGGGGGATGTCTTGATGAAAGTGACTTCAACACAATAAATGATGCGTGGAGAAACTGGATTGGGAGGAGGGCAGAGGGAAGAAAGGAGTGCCAATATATTTCTAACCTATGAGCCTGGAAGAATGGAGTGTTTCTAAGAACAGCTGTGGAGGAACTGAGTTTAGCAATGGGTGGGAGTGGTCACATCCTACAGACAACTGGAAATACGAGTCGGGGCAGTTTTAGAAGTTACAGCTGGAAACGTACATTTGAGCTTACAGATCTGATGCATATTGAGAGAACACCATTTCAGACAATCTTGATGGAAACCATAGTTGTTAGAGGGCCATACTGTGAAGAGGAACCAAAAAGAGGAGGAGGAGGAAGGAAGGAGGGAAGCTAAGAGTTATATGCCATGGATTTCTGCATGCTACCTGCATCTTACACTACCCCTATGAGGGTAGCTACCCTCATGTTTACAGAGGAGGAAGCAGTTTGAATTCAGTTCGTGGCAGAACTGGAATGTGAACACAGGTCTCTGTCTTGACTCCAAAGCCTATGCACTTCCTGCCATGCCGTGCTACCCTTCCAGATGGTTTTATACTCTGAAAGCCTAGGAGCAGGTGCCTTGCACAAAGCAGGTGTTTGGGAAATGTTAAATTAGTTCCAAGTGAGTAGTAATAGGTATTACATACCAAGTGTGTGTGGGCGTTGTAGGGGGGTATAATGAGACCTGTAAGAATTGAGAAAATGTATTTGGCTAGAAGGCTGTGGTAAATCAATTGCATTATTGGTCCCAATATGTTCCTGTTCTCTGAACCCTCACCCCTTGCCATGTGACTTTGGAGTTCCTCTCAGTAAAAGGCAGAACCTGTTCCCTGACCCCTTATTTCCAGGTGGACTTTATGGCTTGTTTTTCTTAATAAAATGTGGCCAAAATAATGATGTTCCAGTTCTGACCCTGAAACTTGAGGTTTTTTGTGTTGACATTAGTCTCTTGTTTCTTGGCCATCTCTGTGAGGACAGCGTGAGTTAGCCTGCTGGACATGGACAGAGCCCAGTGTCCCACCCCGCACCACAGCCACCCTAGATGAGGCCACCACCACCCGACTGCCAGACAAATGGGTGAGCCCTCTGAGAGCAGAACTGCTCAGTTGTACCCAGCTGATATTGCCAACCCACAAACTCAAGAACTAAATAAATGCTGATTGTTTTAAGCTACTGACTTTTCAGTACTTTGATATGCAGCATTATAGCAGCAGTTGGTAACGATACAAAGGCCACTTTAAAAAAGAATTTCCAAAGGTGTTCGATAGGAAATGGAGGCACTGAGAATTTGTTCCTTATTTGTAGAGTCATATCCGGCACAGTGCATTAGAGATGAAAGGAATTGTCGAGATAATTGATTGTTTGCTCATTTTTCCAATGAAAACCTGAGACCAATGGAGGGTGAGTTACTCACCCAACGTTATTGGAAGGAACCAGGATAAAACAGTTTCCTTCATTTCTGGTCCACTGCTCTGTGATGAGAGCACAGAGTAGTTAAAAGGGCTATAACCTAATGCAAAAAAAAAAGAAAACACTTTGTTTGGTCAGTGGATATGTGCATATTTAAGAGTGAAAAGGGAAGAAGCTAATGAAAGAAAGAGTGATAGGCGGCAGGATTTCCTTTCTCATAGTTGAATATTTCATTGTGTGTGTCACATCTTTTTTCTCCATTCATCCTCCAAAACTGAGTCAAGAAGAAGCAGAAAGACCAATACCCTTTATTTTTCTGAATAGACCAATAACAGCTAGTGAAATTGAAGCAGTAATAATAATAATAAAAAAACCTCCCAGTTCACAAAAGCCCTGGACCAGACGGTTTCCCAGGAGAATTTCACCAAACATTTAGGGAAGAGCTAACCCCTAGCCTGCTCTAACTATTCCAAAAATCCAAGAGGGAAGACTCCCAAACTCTTTTGATGAGGCCAGCATCATCCTTATTCCAAAGCCAGATGAAGACATAAGAAAGAAAACTATAGGTCAATACTGCTGATGAACATAGATGCTAAAATCCTGAACAAAATATTGGCAAACTGCACCCAACAATACATTAAAAAGATCATCCACCATGATCAAGTGGGATTCACCCCAGGAATGTAAGGATGGTATAATATTCACAAATCAATAAATGTAATACATCACATAAACAAAAGGAAAGATGAAAACCACATGATCGTTATCAATAGATGCTGAAAAAGCATGTGATAAAGTACAGCACCCATTTATGATAAAAACACTCAGCAAAGTGGGTGTTTTGTTGATTTATTGATGATAGCCATTCTGGCAGGTGTGAGATAATATCTTGTTGTGGTTTTAATTTGCATTGCTCTGGCAATTAGTGATGTTCAGCATCTTATGAATATTGGCCATCAGTATAGCCTCTTTAAAGAAGTGTCTATTAATATCCCCTGCCAATTTTTTAATTGGATTGTTTAATTTTTTGCTGTTTAGTAGTATGAGTTCTTTACAAATTTTTTATATTAACCCCTTATCAGATGTATCATTAGTGAATATAATCTCCCATTTAGCAGGCTGTCTTTTCACTTTATTGATGGTTTTCTTTGCTGTGCAAAAACATTTTAGTTTGATGTAGTCCCATTTGTTTTTTTTTTCTTTTGTTTTCCTTGCCTGAGGAGACATACTCCAAAAAACACTTAAAAGAGAAAAATTTATTCTGTTTTTTTTTTAAATAGTTTTATGGTTTTGGGTCTTACATTTAAGTTTGTAATCCATTTTGAATTAATTCTTGTATATGGTGTAAAAAAGTGATCCACTTTCATTTTTTTTTTTTTTTTTTTTTGCTGGTATCTGTCTAGTTTTCCCAATACTATTATTGGGGAAACTGTCTTTTTCCCATTGTATATTCTTGCCTTCTTTGCCATATATTAATTGACCATAGAGGCATTGGTTCTCTGTTACATTGTATTGATCTATGTGTTTGTTTTATACCAGTAAAATGCTGTTTTAATTACTACAGCCTTGTATTAGTTTACTATCAGGTAGGGTGAGTCCTCCAACTTTGTTTTTCTGTCTCAAAGCATTTACCTATTCCACCATCTTCTCTCCTACAATTCTGAATGATAACCTTGATGGGTAAATTATTCTATGTTGCAGGGGTTTTTTTTTCAGTACTTTAAATATATCCTGCTACTCCCTCTAAATTGCTCCTGAGAAATCAGCTTATAGCCCTATGGGACTTTCTTTTTGTTTAACTAGTTGTTTTCCTCTAGATGCATTTGAAATTTTCTCTTTATTCTTAACCTTTTCCATTTTAATTACAGTATGTCTTGGTGTTGGTCGCTTTAGGTTCATCTTTGGAACTATTTATATTTCTTGGACCTGCATGTCTGTTTTCTTTTCCAAGTTAGAAAAGCTTTCAGCCGTTATTTCTTCAAATAAAGCCCTTTTTTTTATTCTCTCTTATTCTGGGAGCACTATAATGCAAATGTTTTTGTGTTTGATGTTGTTCCAGAGGTCCATTCAACTATCCTATTTTTTTCTCTTTTAAAATTAAATTTACTGGGGTGACATATCACTGGGGTGATATATAAGATTATATAGGTTTCAAGTGTACATTTTAATGATACATGATCTTCATGTTGTATTGTGTGCCTACCACCTGAGGTCAAACCATCTTCCATCATTATATATTTGACACCTTTTACTACCTCTCAACCCACTTCCCTCTGATAACCACCATGTTTTTGTCTGTACTGATGAGTTTTTGTTTGTTTTTCTTGTTTGTTCATTTGTTGCTTTCAGTTTTATATTCTACATGAGTGAAAACATATGGTTGTTAATTTTTTCTGTCTAACTTAGCTCACTTAGCATAATATCTTCAAGGTCCATCCATGTTGTTGCAAATGGCAGTATTTGATCTTTTCTTTTGGCTGAGT